GGAAGACTACGGAAGTCATCCAAGGGAATTTCCATTATTTAAATGCCCCATCAAGTTCCAATTCATTAGTAGTGCCTTTAAATGCAAGGCATCCTGATGTTTTAGTTGATTCTGAATCTTTCACTCCTCCCCAATGCAGAGAAAATGGTGCTCCATCAATCAGGGAAGTAGGATCTCATAGTGGTGTGAGGAACAGATTAGGCGCTACTGCAGTGGATCCTATTCCAATACATAACCATAACCACAACCACATTTTCAAAGGAACTATATAGGTCAGTCCTTTCAGCCAGCCATGACAGATGGAGGTGCTTCATCTTGGGGTCAGGTTCAAGCTCCTTCTTACATGCGTGGTAATTTCTTTATTCTAATTCTCTCACTTATTTGACATGCCCGTTGTATTCTAAATTCCTAAAATATTTTCCTCAAAAAAATTAAAAAATTTAGGATTTAATAGGAATATGGTTATATACATGTTTAGCACTAACTAACCTTGACTCCTCTTCCTCTAACATGTTCTGTAGGTAGTAATGTTGGTGGTTCTAGGAAACAGTGCATAGAAGCTCCACAACCTTCATTAATTCTTCTCTCCCCAACCCTCGGCACCATAACTGTTATCAACCATTGCCTCCTATTCAAGGTGTGAGAGGTAACAACATTAATGTTCGTCCACAAGCAACTGCAGTTTCATATCGCCTTCCACCAAGTTATGCCCCACAGAACAACCCCATGAATCCTTCACAGGAGAGTTTAGAGATGGGGTCTAGGCATGTGAGACCTATGCCACCTGGTGGCCTTAGGATTTACCGGTCTCACCGAGGAGGTGTTGTACCTGGGATATTTCAAAGACATCGCAACCTTCCTTACCTAAGAGTTTTACCCCCAGATGTAATTTCTTCTTCTCTTGTTGCATTTCTTTCATGAATGTGAATGCGTTATTGATGTTCATAATATTTTTGTTCCTAGATATGCTAACATCTTTTGATTGATTTTCCTAGGGAGTTGCTGTGTTAGAATTCTCAAGAGTTTTATGAAGACGTGGATAATTTTATTGATCATCACAGAGATATGCGCCTGGACGTAGAGGACATGTCTTATGAGTTAAGTCAAGGCACATCAATGTCTTTCACTGTTCATTGCATTGATTCATTTGAATTTTGCCAGCCCCTTTACGGGAATCTTTTGAATGACCGCAGGAATTGCTTGCACTTGGGGAGCGGATTGGCAATGTTAACACTGGGTTGTCAGAGTAAGCTGTTACTAGTAAATTGAAAACAAGAACTTATTTAACATCTTCAAAATATATAAATCTTGAAGAGGCAGCACCAGTTGACCTGGAAGCTGATTCTTGCATTGTATGTCAGGTAATGAACCTTAGAGCTGAGCTGCTGACTTTTTTTGTTCAAAAGCTTAAAATTATCCTTTATCTTTGTTCATTGCCGTCCCGAATCACAATCCAGTTCTTAAGTTCTAACCATGACATTTTTCTAATTATCTTGACAGGAGGAGTATAAAAACCAAGAGAAGATCGGAACTCTTGATTGTGGGCACGAGTATCATGCGGATTGCTTAAAGAAGTGGCTACTAGTGAAGAATGTATGCCCCATCTGCAAAACCGAAGCTTTGGCTACATAAATTCTATATTTTAATGGTTCATGTTGGCCGAATTAGCAGGAAAGTACTCCATAATATGATGTACTGTGACTAATTCTATTTTCGCAAAACAAAATCACTGTATATTTTGTTATGGTTTTTGCACATGAACTTTTACTAACAGTCCAACAGTATTATAATCACTTATCCATCGGTGTTGGTATGTATCCACAATTGCAGAGACTTTCGCATCGTGCGGTTTCCTTGTGTAATATTAAGGATTTGTGTGGAAATGCTTATCGGTTGCTTTAGCTTTTAGTTTTTTGTTATTTGGTCTTTTTATTATCTTAAAAATATATAAAATATTAATTAAAATAAATATCAAATATATTTTATATATTTTATAATATTAAAAAAAATATTGTTTTATAGCTTGAACTGTATCAAACTATAAAACAGATCTTCTTGGATAGTAAAAAACCCTTAATATCAAATAAATCACTTTTTATCTAATAATTAGTGTAGTTTAATCTAAAACAATTTGGATTGCACTACACTTTTTTTATATTAAAAAACAAAAAAATTTATAGTTATAGAGTAGTGCTCTCCAATTAAGTTTAAATCAATTATTCTGTCATTCATGTCATTGGGATATATAGAGCCATACAAAAGGGTTTCCAAGGTGTGTATCTCTCTCCTACGACCACCATGCTACTTTCTTGTTTCTCTTTGGTGATGTATGTCCCTTGGAATGTTTCTATGCATTGTAGAGGATAAGTATGAATCTTTAACCTTAGTTCCGTTTAGTATAGGTTTTAGTTTTTGGCTTGGGTTTTATAAATTTAGTAACTCTAAATAAAAAAATTTGTTTAGTTTACGTCTAATTGTTAACAAAAAATTTTTAAACCTAAACTAAAAATAACATCTATGTCAAACAGAGCCTAGATACATGTTGGGTACCAAACCATAGACTTCCTACATGATGCATGTTAGGGGTGCAAATAATCCTTTTTCCTAACCCACTGGGTTCAACATGTAAACATGGGTTCGAATCTCCGCATTATGCAGTGGACCTGTGGTTATATGGATATCATGACTCCCTTGATCCCTCCATATTTAAACGGAGCAGCAACCGACTTTCTTGACAGCTGAAACATCATCCTTCCCACCAGCATTAATGGTTTTTCCCCTTGGCAATGCTGCCAGATCATTCCCTATATCTAGGGCTTTTTGGCTCACTACATGATATATTTGAATTAGCATATCTGTAAATGCATTCTCTACATTCATAGACTCAAGGGCTGATGTCTCCATAAAGAAGGTTCTCTCTCTCTCAGCAAAGTTCTTAGCAACTTCAGTGGAAACAGCACGTCAATGTCGCTAGTCTGCCTTGTTACCAACAAGCATGATCACAATATTTTTATTGGTGTGATTGCAAAGCTCCTTTAACCATCTTTCGATATTCTCAAATGTGACATGTCGAGTGGCATCATAGACAAGCAATGCACCAACAGCTCCTCAGTAATATGCACTAGTAATTGCCTGATCTCTATGGAACGAACATAAATGAGAAATCAGTTTTGAAAGATTATAATACACATTCACTTACCAACTTCAAAACCTTGATTATAGTTCAAGGTCAGAGGTTGGAGCCCTCCAATGATAAGCACTAACTTTGTTTTCCAATAAAAATAATACACACTCATTTAAAGAAAAGACCACAATGATGCAGGCATTCATTGCCAAAATATCAATAGCAAAGGGAGTTATAGTTTCCCTTCCATTACTCTGTCAAATAGAAGTATATATTTTATCTTCAAAAATTGACTAAATCTTTCGTCAACATAGCCAACAAAAGAAGTAACTAAAAAAGCATTCTTATCCTTGTTCTCAAACCTTGAACTTTAATTCATTTTCTAACTGAAAGTACACAAACTCAAGCAGAGGAGGAAAGTCACAAAAAATATAATTTTTAAGCAATTGAACTGCTTCAATGAGGCGGAACAATTCTCCAAAAGCAGCAACTAACACAATCATACAAGTCTCTGGTAAATGAATTACGTTGTAGTTGACAAGCTAAAGATTTCAGTTTCTTACGCAGATAATAATTTTACTTTTAGTTTTCCACTGAGTTCCTACTGCCACAGAGAAACATCACCAAATTCAATAGCCGCCAACCAAATCTGAGATTTAAACCCCTCATCACTTCCCATATTTTGTCAGCAGCAATGTGGACACAAACTCAAGTACCATACCTGATTGTAGAAAGTAATGAAATATAAAGAGAACTGCCCTCAACTCTGCACTTGTCAATAGCAACAAAAAAGATAATGATTCCATCCGCCACCCCAAAATTCCCAGAGAAGAAAGACACTAACTAAAGATCCGGAAACCAAACAACCCAATCAACTTTGAAATGTGACTAGCTCAAAGAAACAGAATGTACCCACAATGTCATCATATCAGCCTTCCATCAACACTCAAAATCCCGAATAACTTTCTGCTCCAAATTCATCCACCAACAAAACACAAAAAGTTCACAACTTTCCCACAATTTAGCAATCAAACCACAAACCATAATTGCAAACACCCAGTTCATAAAACAGATACACCTACCAATAAAACAACAACAACAGATATGATACGGGAAATTTTTATGTACCTCTCCTGCCCGGCGGTGTCCCAAATCTGGGCCTTAACAATCTTGTCATCAACATGGATGCTGCGGGTGGCGAATTCAACTCCAATGGTGGATTTGGATTCGAAACTGAACTCGTTCCTGGTGAATCGAGATAACAAAATCGTAATCGTCTTCGGCTCTATACGCCGCCATTTGGTGGGTTGAGTTAGGTTTCCAGCGAGAATTTTCTGGGGAGCAATGTAT